GGTACAAATGGGAATCTGCGATTAACAATGGACATGGTGGTGTAGTAGCCTATAATGGATGTGAGCAAAGAAGGTATAAGCCTTTATATCTACCTGTTTTCTTCTCTCTTGCTGAACTTGGATGATTTGTTTTTCTTGCAGTCTAAAAATAAACTTAATAACTTCACTTCAAACGCCTTCACTTGTCTTGGCAACACTTTTCATTTAGCCATTATCGGTGGGGCTGAAGATAGATAGATTTCTTATTTGTACACGCTGACCCCGTCAACCGAAGCTGATTACCACGAGGGGCATGTGCCAAAAAATTGAGGTTGTGGAAGGTGTTATTCTTAAAACAGTGCAGAGAATATGTTGACAAAAGCGGAGATTTCAGCTTTCGCCATTCCAACATGGAGTCGAGAGAAAAGTAACAACTAAGGTAATAAGATAAAGGTATTTATAGGAAGTTATGTGTATATATATATATATATATATATATATATATATATATATATATATATATATATATATATATATATATATATATATATATATATATATATACCGGGTGTCCCAAAAAAAAGTACTCCGGTTTGATTTATAATAACTTCTAAACAAGTAAAGCTATCAAACTGAAATAACATGCATTAAATAGAGGAAGGACTAACTTAGATTTTGATATATTACAGTTGTATTTTACTTAAAAATTCACGGAGATATTAATGTTCAAAATCGGGAGCTTATTTTGGGATGTGTGTGAAATATGCAAAAAACGGCGTATCAAATATTAACTTCTCATGCGTTTGTTTGCTTGATGACATGTCAGGCTAACTTGTATTTCAGCGAATTGTCGTTAGGGTTTGTAAGGGATATGGCGTAGATTTAGACTTCTTACATGTAAGTCTTAGCTCATTGTTTCCTGAAATATGAACGTATACGAAATTATGCAAGTATTTTATAGGTCTTTACAAACTTTACAAATTTATACGGTACATGAAAGACCATGCAAGGCAGGCGCTTAAATTTTTCTTAGCCTATTTTGTTATGTTTTTCATGGGTTCAAAACAGAGTTGATTATTTCTCGGTTAGAGCAGGATGAATATTATTCTGCAATGAAGGAAATAATATTGCTTTTTGCAAATACACATCACAGTATCAACGCTACTATTTTGTTACGTTGTGTTCCAAAAATGTTGGATGTCTCCAGGGAGTTGCATGCTTAATTGTTATGTCCTATGCATGGAGTTGTATGGTTTCATTGTGTTTCATTCTCAGTTTATTCTGAATTTAAAAAGATTAAGAAAAGGCAAATGAGTTTGAGTGTCCTTAACAAGATTTCAGAACGTTGCAGAAGTTAGAAGAGCTTCACAATTCCATTGTGACAGCATGCCCTAATTCAGAACTACGAACGATCCATGACGCTCCTTCGCGATGCAGTGGTCTCATGAAATAAGGAAACGTATTCGTGCTAGGAACACACACAGATTTCGGACGAATAAATCTTGCTTGTATTTTGTAGATAATAATACTTTGTTTCATAATAAACAATTTGTCAAGTGTTATTTATTTACTAGTAATCGTGCATGTTTCAGTCGGGCAAATCTTGATTAATATTTGATACGCCGTTTTTTGCATATTTCAGACACATCCAGAAATATGCTCCCGATTTTAAACATTAATATCTCCGTGAATTTTTAAGTTAAATACAACTGTAATATATCAAAATCTAAGTTAGTCATTCCTCTATTTGATGCAAGTTATTTCTCTTTAAAAGGTTTACTTGTTTAGAAGTTATTATGAATTAAACCGGAGTACTTTTTTTTGGGACACCCGGTATATATATATATTATATATATATATATATAAAGGCTGTTCGTAACCATATACACTCTTTGTCATTCCCCTCCACAGAGGCTTTGTGTCACTTTATTTATACCCGGAAAATGTAAGGCATTCAGGTAATCGGGTATATAGCTCGCACGTTTAACTAGTATATAGCCTTCGCGTGTTTAACTTTTTGCCAGCGAGTTTAACGCCTCTGGGCAGGAGAGTGATCCTTTGGGGGAAGGGGAGAAGACAAGAAACCAGTCCTGACTAGTAATCACCCAGGTTGAAGATCTTGGCAAGATCTTGTAAGATCTTGCATGATCTTGGAAGATCATGGCAAGGTCTTGGCAAGACACTAATCTTGGCAAGATCTTGCCAAGATATTACCAATATCTTGCCAAGATTATTCAATATTGCCATACTTGCCAAAATCTTGCCAAGATTGTCTGAAATTCTTGTCAAGATCTTGCCAAGATCTTTCATGATTTTTCGTCATACATAATTCTTGCTGAGTTGTATTTTTCGACCTTCATAAGTATAGGTATAATGAACCTTGATCAAACCAATCACATATATCACAACATTGCCAATACTCTATCATGATCTTGCCATGATCTTGGAAGATCTTGTCAAGATCGCACCATGATCTTGCCAAGATCCCACCATGGTCCTTGCCAAGATCTTATCACAATCTTGCCAAGATTCTATCATAATCTTGCCATGATCTTGCACAATCTTGCCAAGATTCCACCATGATCTTGCCAAGATCTTGTCAAAATCTTGTCAATATCCTATCATGATCTTGCCATGATCTTGGAAGATCTTGTCAAGATCCCGCGATGATCTTGCCAAGATCCCACCATGGTCCTTGCTAAGATCGTATCACAATCTTGCCAAGATTCTATCATAATCTTGCCATGATCTTGCACAATCTTGCCAAGATTCCAGCATGATCTTACCAAGATCATATCAAAATCTTGCCAAGATCCTATTGTAATCTTGCCATGATCTTGGA